AATTTGAATTTCTGCTCATGTTCATCTACGACTTACTTGCGCTTTTGAATTTCTCTTGTTTAATTCTTGCATTTGAGTTGATTTCAATTTAGATTAATTTAAATCACTATTTTTTACAATTGAATGGCATTTAATTTCAAAGTAATTAGCTTAGGATCATTTACATTGAAGCTCATTTACATTCTATTGTTTATCTAGCCTAAGTGTAGTTTTATTTCTTTCCTTTCATTTTCTTTTTCAGTTTGTACACATTAGATCTAGTTTACAATATGTTTTTACCTGTTTTATGCATTACATTTCATGTTACTTGCTTTTACTTGTTTCTTTAGTATAGGTTGGGACGGATCAGCAATGGGGCAATGGGAGCAGCTACCCCCCTTGAGATCCTAATATCCCTTAGAAATTATTATAAAAATCTTTAAAAATTTAATTTTGTATAGTTTGACCCTATTAAAAATGAAATATATATATGACACTTTCATAAATGTTTTAAAGAACAAAACTATAATTGCAATATAAATGACTTATTTTATAAAAATAATAGGTCACATGTATAAATATAAATAAAATAAATGTTTTATAAATAATTTTTATTTAAGGAGCATCATTTCATTTAAAAAACAATAAAAGTCAAACAAAAAGTGATCTTTCTACTCCACTTATAATTTTTCTATTCATCCAAACCCATAAAAATTACAGTAGATAGAGAATAGAAGCAGAGAAATAACAAAAAGACAAAGAAAAGACAATAAACCTAAGAAACAAATTAAGGAGTGAACATTTTTTTCTTCCATCAATATATTTAAGTAAGTAATTACTTTTTTATTTATTTTTGTATTTGTTATTATTTGTTTATGTGATAGAATATTTGTTTACTATTAAAAATTTTTTATATTGGTAAAATAATTTGATTTGGGGCTTAGTTTATGATTTATTTTTATGTATATGTATATTTATATTATAAGTGAATTAAGATTGAAGAATGTTGTACTTTCTTAAGTTGATCAATGAAATAATTTAATTTGTATAAAATTGATTTTTATTTATAAAATTTTATTATTTAATTAAAATTCAAAATACATAGTAAAATATGCATGTTGATTTTGTTTGCATAATTATATTTCAATATCTAATATAAACTACAATATTATCTTCTTATTTCTTAGAAATTATATAAACTAAATTATCTAATTTAATTAGTTGTGGAAAAATATCTTATTAAGAGAAAGTCAATTTTGAATGAATCATTTGAAATCAATAATAGTGACTCATAACATTTTACAACATAAGTTCACGTTTAATTAGATTTAGATGATTTTCATCGGATCCAAAGTTATGAAAAAAGATTTTAGACTATCATCCTAATGAAAGAGATAATGTTTGAAAAGTTTATTTTCGCACTAAGAAACCCATAAAAAATAATTATAATGTGTTATCTTTGTGTATAAATAAAATAATTTTTATGCATTTTAGTTAATTTATATTTTTATATTTAATATTATCTATATTAGTTGCCCCTATTGAACACAAATTTTGAATCCATCCTTGAGTACAAGAGTAGTGTAGATTACTCTTTTGAACTTTGATCAACCTAAATATAGTTGTAGTATATTGATAAGTGGTACTTAGACTAAGCTACCCCGATATTCAGTTTTCATGAAACGATACTCAACTTATCACTGTTAAATGGCCTCTACACTTGTAGATGTAATCAACAGGATGATTTAATCCCCCAAATTGGAGAGGATTTTTTTTAATTTATGTGATTGAACTTATATATCCTATTACACCCTTAAAAATTATATTAATAATTTAAATTGTATAAACTTTGAGGAAGAAAAATTTTGACCATTAAATAAAATAATTCTATCATAATCTTTTTACACATCAAACACAAGATAAGATGACATTATTTAATCTAGGGATAATGTTAAGAATGGCTCTTAAACTATAGAAAAATATTTAATATAATATCTGAACTTTAAAAATCTCTAATGTAATACCTGAACTATAAATTTGTTAACAAATTTAGTACTTGGAGGTTGTTTGTTTGTCATATGATATGATTTAAAGCCAGCCACATTAAGGGAGAGTATTACATTAGTTAATAAATTCATAATCTAAATGTCATATTAAAGATTTTTAAAATTTAGGTAACATATTGAACATTTACTATAATTCAAGGACTATTCATAATATTAATCTTTTAATCTAATTCCATTTTTAATATCATATTATCTTATGCTATTATAATTTTGTGCATCAACGCACTCTAAATACTTGTTTAGGCATTAGATTATTGAGAGGATATGATGATTTATCCTATCTCATGTTTATTATGCAGTCGAAGGAAAGAATTAGATTATTGATAAGATTAAATCAACTTTTGATATAAGATGACTAAATTTTTTTCAAAATGAAAGGATTATTTTTAATCCCATAAAAATAGATGATATATGCTTTTGTATTATTTATTTATCCCTAAAACTTATATTTAAAAACCAACCTAAGCATTTGATAAGATAGCAAAAGTAGCTATTAGATTAAGTTAATTCAAATTATTTTTTTTCTCTTTCCTCATTTTTCTTTTTCCACATTACCCAAATTAATTTTTTTATTTACATTTTAAAATTGACATAAACATTTGATGAGATGAAAGATGTAATTAATCTAATTAGTTTTTTTTTTCTTACTTTTCATTTCTCATTTTTTATTTTTTTCTTCTCTCTTCTCTCTTTATTTTTTGTAACATTTGTTTTCCATTGCTAGTGGGAGAAGAAAAAAGAGGTAAAAAAAGAAAATAGATAAAGAAAAATAGATAAAATTAATTTTTTTGAGAAGTCAATGTACTTTTTTTTGAAAAATCAACTCAATATCTTTGAAAAATCCATTTTTTTGAAAAGTTATCAATATTTCAATCATAGAAATTATTTTAAGTTTACATTATAAAAAGAAAGAAAAAAATGAGAAAAATATAAAAATATTTTATTAAAAAATATTTTTAAAAATTCACTATTCAAAAAAATAATTTAATTTTTGATAAAAATTGATTATTTTTAAAAAATCAATTTTATAAAAAAAATCAATTTTTATGTTAACCATAAAAATTATTATAAATTATAATTTCTTTTATTTAGTTAAAGAAGTTTGAATTATATTTAGAAAAAGAATATTTATATTTATATTTATTTTAAGTAAGGGTAATTTTGACTGAAGAAAAGAAAATCTATTATACTCTTAAAATTAATATCATGCACAACAAGCATGGTGAATGATAAAAAACATCTTATTTTACTTTTATTCTTACTTTATATATATATATATATATATATCAAACATATGAAAAAATGACATCATAAAATTTAATCTTATTAATGATCTTATGCATTTAATACATCCTAAAGTTTTTTTGATATATGGCCAAAAAAAACTTCATTGGGATAAGTTTAATGGTGGACTAACCTAAAAAAATAGTAACAGTGTGTATATGCTAGCTTTAAGCTTGACCAAAATGTAACATTAAATGCTAAATTTTTTTTCTTTATTTATATATATTAAAAAATAAAAATTTGATTAAGTTTACGAATATCTTAAATCAAGTATTAAATTATTCGAACACAGTTTAAGTTGTTACTCAAATAGCTCAAGCTCGATTTAATTTGACATTAAATGAATCAAACTTGAATTTTTTCTTTTAAATTGATTCTGAATAACTCATAAGTAGCTTGACTCATTCACACAATCTTGCCTGTTTGCTTTGTCAAATATCAACCATTCAACTTTGGCTACATAAGCCTTCTCTTCACCGCACATCTTAGAAAATTCTCTTATTCATTGTTTAGTGTTCTTTTCTCTATTAATTCGAAGCACTAGAGTTTTGGGCATCGATTCAACAAGCGTCTTGGCCTAAACTCATTTCTACTAAAGTCTTGAGAGCAAAGTGCCAAGCCCTTGTTGGATTAGGCTTCCAAACTAGTCTTAAAATTCTAAACTTATACACAAGCTTGTCCTCAAGGGCATTAAAGAGATTGAGATCCACATTAGGTTTGACCCTAAATTTAGGTAAAATCTTTAGCCCAAATCCATCTGGGCTCACACTAGACAACTTCTAAATAAATCTCATCATTGCAAGAACTCAAGGCTGGGATACGGCTTCTTCTTTTTTTTTTTTTTTTTTTAATATTAAATGAAGAGTTTTGTTAATGATTAGATGAAAAGCCACATTAACACAAATAAAATTTGTGGTTATTTTTTTACTACTTAAATTCTCTTTTTGGTTTTTGTTTACCAAACAATATTTTTTATTTATAATTCTGACATGGCACTGTTTAAATTAATGATTTTTTTTTATATATATTTGTGTCTTTTAATCTGACCATCAATAACACTTTAAGTTTAATGTTGAAAAAGGAAAAAAATCAATTAGAGGGCTTTTTCTACACATAGATACAATTGTAAATAGTCTATTAAGCTCTAGGATTTTCAAGCATGGAAGCATGATAAAATAAGATTTTGTCTATTGTATGTGATGATTTTCATATAGGTACATTAACATATACTTCTCCTACCTCAAATTGTCTCAAAATAACTTACATTTTCCGAAAATGGGATATTATTGTTTTCAAATGTTATCTTTTTGTTGAAATATTAACTCTAAAGTAGAATTTTTATCGACCGTCCAAAATAAACCATAAAATGATGCAAAAATCATTAAATCTCAATATGCAAACTAAAGAACTCTACCTCGAGGGCATACAACCATGCACGTAATTAGTCATCGCCCTTTAAAACGTCCTTATATTCTATGAATTTTAGTTTTGGGCCAACCAAAATAATATATTTATTCAAGATAGAGTGAATAGCTATATCTTCATAGGGGAAATCATAAAATACAACAGATATACAGTATGTTTTGGCTCTAACACTGTTAAAAGAGGTATGACACCAAAAGCCATTACCAAGCAAACTTACTTTTCCACAAACAAACTCCAACCCTTGAAATGTCCTTTCCTTTCAGCTTTCGCAGTCCAGCAGTTGAACTGCATGGCTTGCCTCCTCCAGTCTTCTCATTCGAATGTGTCTGAAAAACAAAACTAGTCCTTGCAAACCAAGTGACAGAAGTTAGCCTATAGTCATGAGCAGATTTTATGGGCACTTATTGATTTTTAAAGCTAATAACACATTAAATAAAACTATCTAACAACTATGTGAACAACTATAAAAGACTTTGAAGCTAGTTTTACTGCAAGGTAGCTCCCCATGCAAAATAGCATAAGGCAGTTAGGCAAACAAATAAGAATCGGATAACATTCCCAGCCCCTTTCCATGTCACTTGTCCTGCTTGCATCTGTTCAATTCAGGCTCTAACAAATGGCCGAGGCATTGCCTTAACTTACATCTTTCTTTCATTTCTAAGGAATTGCCTCAATGGTATCCACATCTTTCCTCTAAAAAATGAGTCCCAGGTTCAGAACTCTTCCCCACCCCCTGCCCCAACTTAACTACCAAGAAACAAATGCTATTTGCTGTTCTTTCCTATTCCTCTGAACAAACCAGACTCGGCAAACTTTCTTGGGCATTGCATTGATGCACCATAAAACTCATGCAGACGACCAAATATATTTTAAAAAATGCCACAGAAGCGATTGTAGGCCAGCCTGTTTGAAAAGGAATTGTTGGACATTCATCTGTAGAATAAAAAAGCCTACCTAAAGTCCCAAAACCAAACTTAGAAAAATTCAAATGGTACTCAGAAATTGGTAAAGAAACTAATCAAATTTCTGTAACATTAAAAAACAGCAGTAGAAAAGCAGTATTAACCCATTCAAGATTACACATAAATATCATATAATTTAAGATTTGTGGAGTTAAATGAAAACTTCATCAAAAACAAGTAGCATGCCAAGAGCAAAGAGCTGAGCCAGAAAATTGATTACATAAGCATGCCATTTTATCTCTGCATTTCTTTCTTTAATGGAAAAATAGCATAGTTTGTAAAATAGTGAAAAAAAATAAAAAAATAAAAAATAAAACTATCACTTGGGAGCAGGGTGCAGAGAACCCAAAAGAAAGGTAAAAGATATGTACAGAAGACAAACACTGGAAGCACTAACTACTTTTCACACTTTTAATATATGGACAGCTTAATGATAAAAGAAAGAAAAGAAGAAAGGAGAAAAAGCAACAAAGTGATGTCCATAAACATCAAGATAGTAATATTTAAACCTAGATCATAGAATTGATAATGGATTAGTTTCCACAATGATCCCACCAACTGGGGATTTGAACCAGAACAAGAACAAGCATGATTAGTCTTTGATATACTGCAGAAACTTTAAAGCCACAATCATTCTATGGTTTTAGGAATGCTTATATTAAACATGTGATCCTTAGTGAGAAAGGATCTTCTGGCTCAAAAAAAAAAAAAAAGAACCAATGCAGAGAGAGATGGGTTAAATTAAACATTCAGGCTATCACATGCAATTACAGGTGGATTTTGCCTAAAGCTTAATAAAAGTGGATTTCCTATTACAAAAATTAACCAAAAGTTGAACCATTTTGACATATTTACCCATTGGTCTTATTATATAATCATTTGCGATGGGATTAGCAATAGCAAAATATAAACATATAAAAATTGAAGCAAAAACAGAGTTATCCACCTAAAATTATCATCAGACAAGAGGTTGCTCACCAGTACTTAATCAAGCCATCCCAGCCACAAGTTGCAAACTAGGCTGAGTTGGGATTTTATAATGGAGCAAAGCTCAAGCTTCACTCCTACCTCCCAACTAGATTACAAAAGGTTGTTTTCAACTCTTAAAGTTATTTCCCACTTCAAATCAGTTCCCAAATTGAACAGTGAAAAAAACAGCAAAGGAGCCAAAATCAAGTAAGTGTAATCTACATTAAATTTACAGCAACACAACATCAACTGAATCAGTGATCTCAGACCCAAGGTTACTACTTAACAGTGAGCAGCCTGGAAGGACAAGACTATAACTCAACAGTTCTCGACATTGAAGAACTAATGCTCATCCAATATGATACCAAAGAAATGGTAAAGGGCCCATCTATACACATCTGGTGGTGTAGTTACTTTTAAGTTTATAAGAGGTCTAAGCTTTTCCCAATATGCCATATCTAAGACCCTATAAAAATAGTCTAATCTTTCTCCGGGCAGCATCTCTATTGAATATAGACGGTCACTAGGTGGGATGATGGCATAGTTTGAGATACTGCACCTCTAAGACTCTTGTACGGAGGAGAGCTTCCTTTTAAGGATCTCATTCTCCTTTCTTAGTTTCATAATCTTCAGCTTAAGTGTTTCAACTTGCCGATTGGAAGCTGAATCTCCCTGTTGTTCCACAAGCTTCATTCTGCTGATCAACACTGCAGTGTACTCGTTATAATTATATCAATGGCATTACACACAAGGAGATAAAAAATTCATAGAAATGCATAAACATATCTTATACAGTGAAGCTGAGTTCAGCTACCTCAAACTCAAATACAATTTAAGAAAGCCCATCATAGTGCTGGGCAAGAGTTTTCCTTAATTAGGAGATGAGTACGCATAAAGGATACAGTTGGCGATGCCATGTTTGATCAAAATTCAGTCAAGGGGATTTAGTGATCAGAAATTTGACGTTTTTGGTTCAGATTCTACTTAAATAAATTAAAGGAATCTGATTTTAATTTGTAAATAATTTTGTACGTTCAAACAAGCATAACTAATGATATGTGAACTGTTTGAATGTCGAAAGGCAAACTCACATTCCTTTTCCACATCCTTCAGTTTCTTATTCAACTCATTTTTCTCTTCTTGTTCAACCAGCAGACAATCTTTTAAGTCCAAAATCTCAAGAAGATCTGTCAATGCATATTTAGCATCTTTAAGATTATGCAACAAAATCGGGTTGAAAAATTCATGAATAGTTTTAAACTCAGGATCTCACATTCTGATTCCTTGTCAGAATGTAGTTGATCTAGCCTTTTTGATAGCACTTGCACTTGGTCTTTTTGTGTTGCTAAATCCTTTTGCAGCTGACTTGTGGTAGCTTCATTTGTTGCTTTTTCAAGTAGAAGACCTCTGACAGAAGGCAAATTACATGTACAACCACAAAAACGGAATACATTGAGCAACTTACTCACTGGAAACTTACCTGACTTTAGCCTCCAGATCCCCAACTTCCTTTAGATGGTCTTTCTTAAGCAATTCCACAGCCTTCCTGTGTTCCTGCTCAGAGATTTCAACTTCTCACTGTCATACACATTGTTTTAAAAGATTGTTTTTAGCACCAACAAGATGATGGGAATTCACCACAAGACATTTTGTGGAGACATTTTCTTTAGCATTTCAATCACCCATATCTTATTGGGACACATGCACCATTTAAAAAGGCCTCATACAGTTAGACAAAATAAAGTAGCTGACTGACTAGGAGCAATGAAGAGTTTGGCACCTAAGATACTTACCTCTTCTTTACTCTGATATTCATCATTCCTTCTCTGGAGTTCTTTCAATCTCTGGCATATGGCACGATTTTCAAGCTGGTTTCAGAAAATTAAAGCCGTTATGTTTAATTCAGAACATAATTGAACCCTACCTTTGGTTTGAACTTCTTATTACTAAATTTAGGTATATGAATTGCAAAAGATATGTAGACCAAGGAAATAAAAGGATGGTGCACCTGCTCAGCCAAATTGTTTAAGGATTCTGTATACAGTTTTGTTAGTCGCGCATTATCTACAATCAGGGGGAAAATGTTCAATTCAAGTTTTTGACATACAAAATTCCAATGTGCAACTTTAGAAAAATTGGTGATATTACAAACTATCCTCCACACAAGAACTATATGAAGAAAATCAAAGTTGAATAGGAAATTTGAAGGGAAGAAACTAGAGTCCTTCAGTTCAATGTAATGCAAAAACTAATATAATTATAGCAATCACTGCATGCAAACTCACTAGGAAAGGTCCTGGGAAGGACTAATAACCAAATTCCAACAGATTCATTAGTACCAACGATGGTACTAAACAATTGTGTAGGAAAGATCTAACTTAGAGCGAGCAGATTGTATCCTATATCAAATGTGGCAATAATAGGAGCTAAACAAAATCTCTCATCATAAATTACACTCATTCAAGTAGATTTACATGCACAAACACTGTAGCATTCCTTGCCCCTAATATACATTGTGTTTGGTAAGAGAAAAAAGGAAATGGGTCGATTTGGAGCTTCTCATTCCCTCCAAATCCGATCCCGCCAAAATGTTAAGAGCAAAAATACTCATTTAACTTAAATTAATCATCTTATTTACACATTTCTCCCAATCTCTTTCTTTTTATTTCTAATCCGTCCCAATTTTTCCCTTCGCCTTTTTCTCTTCACTTCATTTTCCTTCCTTCCTACCAAACATTTAACTGTAAAAAGCAAAAGAAACACTAGGGCTAGCAGTAGACAAAAGATTAATCATGTTATGATCCTTGAGCAAATAAAAAAGATTAAGAAACAACCTTGTTTTAGAGAGTCACAAGTGAATTCAAGAGCTTCTCTTCTCTTTATTTCTGCATTCCAATTTGATTTCAGAAACTGAATCTCTTCGATTCTCCTCTTGAAATCCTGAATAATCCCAAACAAAATCCCTTCAATTTATTGATTACAAAAGGAAGAACAGAGAAGGAGGCCATTTGGCATTGTGCAATCTGCTTGGGAATTGGAAAAGTTTTCACTTAATCTAACCCATTTGCAGTAGATCAGCAACCAAGCATAAAGGAAAACCCAGCTAAGCTGAGATAGACAAGATTAGAAATGAAAAACTATATAGAATAAAGAAACAGAGTGATTAACCTCGCAAATTTGATCAAAACCGGAGAGAAGCGAATCGATGCGTAGCTCGCTTGTTGCTGCCATTTGTCCCTTTGTTTAAATGCTGTTTGCGTATTTCACTGTTTCTCCCTCCATGTCCTTATATTACTCATTTAGTCAATATTTCAAATTAGAAGGGTTAAAAGCTATCTAGTTACATCATTATGTTGACCCAAATTTGAGAGTAACATCAGTTTTAAGCACAAAAAATATGAAATCAATTTTAAAAAATAATTATATTTATAAAAATTAAGTTTATAATCATAGTTTGTATATAGATCTTAAGTTCAAATCTAATAATATATCTATTAGTAGAGCGGTAAATAGTTTAATTGATATTTTTTCTTTCTTTTTTACTAAGTTGTTTGTAAAAATGGATAATATAGAAGATAAAATAGATTTACTTACAAAAAGATGAACCAAAGACATGTTCTTTTAGATACATCTACAAACTTTGGATTTTTTTATTATGATAATATTATGATGACTGATGACAATCTTTCATTTTTCTCAGTAAAGGTGAAATAAGAAAAACTTGATTTGGACTCTTATAAATACTTAATTGAAAACTTTAAGTATAAAATGAAAAAAATTGAAGATCCTAAACAATGGGTCGATTATCTTCAAGCTATTGAAACCCTTTATGAAAAACATAAAGGACTTTTTCAAAAATATAATTATCATTACATGCTTAACTATGACACAACTAGTATTAGTAGTGAACAAGTAAATAATGATATGGTAGAAGATAATTTTACAATTCTTGCTACTAACCCAGTAGTAAAGAATGAGTTCATTTCATTAGATGAAACCACATTAGATGATTCTTTTAGTTCTGAAGATCAACTAGATCCAGATTTTAAAACCCTATTCCTCAACTAGAGGATAAAGGAAAAAGAAAAGCATTAGAAATATCTAACCCAGATATGGATGATTTTCTTCGATTTCCTGATTAAATTACATTCTCCTGAAGAATTAGCTTAGCATAAACCTCACCTAAAAAAGAATGAGATAAAACAAACTATAGAATTTGGCTAAACCAGTCAGATTAAACTAGAAGTCCATATAATTGATTCGTTAAACAAATGAACAGTTGCACAAGGTGGTACTTATTTAGATCTAACCCGTGTTCTGTCAAAGATTATGAAAAAACCATAGATGATTGGGCACAATATATGTTTATTGTTGTCACATGTTACAAAGATCAATGGAACAAAGAAAATTTTCTTAATTACTTTTGTGGCACATGGCAAGGTGATATCTTTTAATTTCTCAAAAAAAATGGGAAAAAACTACTCTGGGAAACACTAAAAAAAGTTCACTTCTAGCAGCAGGCAATATACCTCAATTTATAAAAAACCTAACCCAGATCTTAAAAAATGAGTTTTGTGAAAGTATAGAATCCCTGGATCCCAATCAAGAAGCTCAATTTTTTCTTTCAAAATTAAAATTATGTGATATTCAAAATCTTGATGATTTCTCTAAAAAATATATTTCTGAATATCAAAAATTGGATGAAGAACATTCAAAATTTTGGTTACAACAATTTTTTTTAAAACTTCCCTCACCATGGGATGAGCTTTGTTTTCAAAATTATAATACTTATTTAGAAATCAAAATTAAATCTGCTAATGCTGCAAATCTCAGCATAGAATTCTATGATACTCTTGGATGTAGAATACACTACATGCAGAGTCAGATTACAAAACATTATCTCAAGCAAAAAGTTGCCAAACAGGTAAAATCTTAACTTAGTTACAAATAGTGTACTAAGATTTTAGAAAATGATTTAGAAGTTGGTGTAACAAACAACCTATTCGAAGAAAATGTTTTAAACAAAAACATAAATATTTTTGGAAAAAATGGAAGTCCAATAAACCTGGTAAAACTATCAAGCCTAAAAAAGGTAAATTTGTTGTTAAAAAGAAGAAACAATCTTCTAAACAAACTTGTAAATGTTTTATTTATGATCAAGAAGGTCACTATGCAAATAGCTGCCTTAACAAAGGGAAAAATGCTAGAAAAATGATTAAAAAACTTGAAAAAAGTTATCTTCAAATTTCTTTTACAGATAAATTATCAAATGATGAAATATATTATGAAGTTTTTTCTAAAACTGATTATAGCTCCTCTGATGATGAATCTGAATATATTTTTATGCTAAATATTGAATCTAACTAAGATAATGTTTCAATTACTTCTTCTACAGGTACAATAACCACAGCCGAAGAAGGTATGATTAAACTAAAAAATGTGATGCGAAAAACTCATCACATTTATGATGACAAACTCAAAGAATTACAACTCATCCAACCAGATGAGATTTACAAAATAAGTTGGTTTAAAAAATTCTAACCTTGGTATAAACGCTATATAGAAAAACTATCGGTGATATAATTGCTAATGATTCTAAACAAGGATCTGTAGAAATACCTTTTTTTACAAAACAGAAAATAAATCATTTTTTAAAAAAATATCCTAAAGTTAAATATATACATATTGGTATGATTTTAATTACCATTAAACTGTTATTTTTGTCTTACAAAGATATTCCTATTATAGCTGTTTTAATGGATAGTCGTTTTAAAAACCCTGCTAATGCTATAATTGGAGAAATTTAATCCAATTTAGCTACTGGTGTTGTTTTATTTAAAGTTAAACCAAACTATTTTATTTCTATTTTTGATGAAAACATTAAAAAATGTTTATGTCTTTGTTGTCAAAATAACAAATTCTGATATTGAAGAAAAATCACATGACCTTTCAATCAACTGGTCTATAATTTATAAGTTTACGAATACTACAAATACTTCTATAAACCGATAAATTATACTATTATTGAACTTTTTGAACCAAATAGTTTTGATTCTGAAATCAAACCAAAATTGATCAAACTCAAAGACTTATTTGTCCCAAAAGGATGGTGTCTCGAAGATATTTTAAATAATACATCTGAAAAATAGAAGGTACCAAGTTTAGAATTTTTCTCATCAAGAAAAACTCTTTACTTTAAAAATCCTCATGCTTCAACTAGTTTTAATCCAAACCTGGTTTTACCCCCATCTAATATTTTTTTATCATAAAAAAGATGATGATATTGAAAGTAAAACTAGTAATCAATCTTTTTATACTCCTTACAGAAGTTTTTTTTTTTCAGGATTTCATAGTACAAACAGTGCAAAAAATCTTCAAAGAGCAAACAATATAAACCATACAGGTAATACTCAAATTCCTATATTTGCAGGCAATAATCCATCTTAGCAAAGTACAGGTGATAATCAATCCTATTATCATTATGTTAATTCTGTTTTAAATTCACATACTTCTTCATCTAGAACACTTAAACAAGAAGAAATAAAAATGTTACATTTTATAAATAATTTTAGATTATTTGCACCTGACATAATATTATTCTCTAACAAAGATAGATATTATATTTTTGTGAATGATGATTTTCGATTTCAAGACTATAAATCATATAGTCTACATATATTGCTTGACATTGGAGCAACAATCTCAAGCTGTCGTAACAATGCTTTACCTATAAACAAATGGCAACCAATGAAGTATCCTATCATCATAGTAGGTATCGATGGTAAGAAAATTATTGATGGTTATAAAGCAAAAAATATTCATGTTTATCTCAATAATGTTAGATTCATAATACCAAAAATATTATGTTTTCCTAACATGCATGGAGATATATTATTAGGAAATAATTTTTTACGTACTTATGTTCCTTTTTCTATATCAAATACCCATGTCACTCTTACAATTGATAAAAAATCAATTGAAATTCCTTTTTTACAAGAACATAAACATATTTGTGACAAAAACTTTCAACCAAAAACACTAACAAATACTATAAAAGCAATCAATGAAAAACATTGGCTTTATAAGATTTTGCAGAAAAACTTCAGTGAACAACCATTGAAGCTTTGGCAAAGAAGTTCACAATATTGTGAGCTTGCTCTTCACAATCCAAAAAGGATTATACGAGTCAAGCCTATGATCTATACCAAATAGGATATAGAAGAATTTAAAATTTAAATATCAGAATTGCTCGATAAAGGTCTGATAGAACCAACTACCGGTCCATATTCTAGTTTAGCATTCATGGTAAGAAACCATTCAAAGATAAAATGAGGTAAACCCCGTATGGTTATCAATTATAAGAAATTAAATCAAAATCTTGTCTTTAATGGCTATTTTATTCTTAGTGAAGATGTCTTAATAAATTTAGCAAAAAATGCTAAATATTTTTCAAAATTTGACTATAAGTCTGGTTTTTGGCAAATCATGCTTAAACTCGAATCTAAACCTTTAATTGCTTTTAGTACACCCACAGGCCATTACCAATGGACTGTTATGCCTTTTGGTTTATGCAATGCACCATAAATTTTTCAGCGTTGGATGGACATTATTTTTAGCAAACATAAACAATTTTGTTGTGTGTACATTAATGATATACTTATTTTTTCTTCTACATTAGACGAGCACATGAAACACCTGAATATTATTGCTAAAAAATTTATTTTATATGGTATTATTTTAAGTCCCAAAAAGGTTAAACTTGAAAAGACATAAATTGAATTTTTTTGTCTTAATCTATCTGTCAATGGATTAATATTACAGGATCATATCATCTCGAAGATCAAGGAATTTTCAGAAGAACTGAATAATATTAAACAATTGCAACAATTTTTAGGTATATTAAATTATGGCAGATAATTTTTCAAAATCTTTTCTAAAAAAGAAAGCTTTTTTTTGTTTAAATTACGCAAAACAATGATTTTGTCTGAACACCAACTGACTCTGATATTATTAAACAAATCAAATTTGAGCTAACTTATATTCCTAAAGTTTATCTACCTAAATAGAGAGATCTATTAATATTAGAGACAGATGCCAGTGAAAAACTTTAGGGATGTGTCTTTAAAACAAAAAATCTTCATCAAAAGGATGAATTGATATGTGGATATAATTCTGGTAAATTTAAATCAAATGAAATAAGCTACATTATTTATAAAAAAGAATTGCTAGCCATAAAAAATGGTGTACAATGATTTCACATCTATTTAGCCCCTGAGATTTT